ATACCTTATTTGGAAATATTTTATTATATGCATTAAATGCTTACATATTTACATTTATTATCCAAATATGATCTTAAAGATTTTTTCCTTAATTAATTTATGCAATGATTTACTGATATCCATTATAATTAATATTTGTCGAGTAATATTTTTTAACCTTTATTTAATTATATAAAACTAATATTTTCTACAAAAAATAATATTATTTATTATTTAAAAGATAATGATCACATCATTAGATGATTTTATTGATAGTTAGATAATATAATTATATTAGTTATTCTTTAAAAATTTTACTAAAATAAAAACCGGCTTAAGAAAAAAAATCCCATAACATCCGATAAGTCAAAAAAAAGTACGTAAAATTTTACTAAAACAAAAAAGACTTTATTTATTTGTCTTATTCCATAGTAACATCGATTTAGTCAAAACAAATCCCATAATCGGTGAAGTCAAAAAATATACGTAAAGCCTATTTATACTAAAAAAAAAAGATTCAAAATTCATTATCTAATTTCTGTTTAAAGCATTTATTTAATATTTATTTATATGAAATATTGGATAGAATTGCTGGATCTGATCAATTTTGTAATCGCGTTGTTTGGTATGAGAGGATTATATGCATCCTATAACTGTCTAAAGCATATTATTTTATATTATTTAATTAATTTATTTAATATTAAATTTTTTTATCCATGATATCAGTTTTGTCAAAAAAATTGATCAAACAAACAAATAAAAAAGAAACAGGATTAATTACCTTCGACTTGAAAAAATTTATGGGTGGACGTAAATATTTAACAATGTTGTTTCAAGTTCCTTAAATAGTACTATAACTATGATGTTGTAATATAATCTGTTTTATGAGTGACGTAAATATGCTTTTTAAAGTTCACTAAAATATTTTTAAAAAATTATGTTGTTTAAAGTTCCTTAAATATTAATATATTTAAAGTATACACATGCTGTAATATATTAAAGTCAAAACAATGTTAGAAGGTTTTGAATTATCTAAGTTTATTAATTTAAATGTTTAATCCCATTAAATCTTCAATCCATGGAATTTACTAATCCCGTGAGCATGTTGTTTTATTATTGTAATCAACTTATACACTATTTTACTAATAAATTATTTAATATCTATGTACAAGGAGGTTTGTAATAATATATGATTTTTTTTTTCAGATACTATTTTATTGTATAATTTTCCTGTGTACTATAAAACTTTTAGTGAATATTGTATCTTATAATATAATATTCCTCAAATAAATATATCATGTGTCTCGCACCGTCCCGTACTATATATATCATGTACATTTTTTTTAATTCATTTACATAACTATAAAGCTGGATAAATAACCTTAAAATTGTGCACCCCGTGCATTGCATGGGCTCTGTACTAGTATATATATTAAAAGCCAACCTATTTACCAAAAATAGTAGCAAGAAAAGTCAACACACATTTATTGCATACCTTATTTGGAAATTTTTTACTATATGCATTAAATGTTTGCATATATACATATCTTAATGATATTTTCCTTAAATAAATTTATTAATTATACAATGATTTTACTGATATCCATTATAATTAATATTTGTCGAGCAATATTTTTTAACCTTTATTTAATTATATAAAACTAATATTTTATTTTTAAATTAATATTATTTATCATTTAAAAGATAATGATCACATCATTAAATGATTTTATTGATGGCTAGATAATAAAATTATATTAGCTATTCTTTAAAATTTTGACATGTTTTTTATTTGTATATTATTGTCAACTATGATAGTGTTTTTATCACTTTTTTTTTTGTTATGTTTCAAAAATGAACTTATTGCAAAATATTTTTCTATTGCATAGTATGTTAAATAAACTATAAAGTCTTAGGATGAAAATTAGAAAAAATCTCTTGATTATGTAGGGATTCATTTTTTGGCAATTGCTAAATCATTTTTTTTTTTAAAAAAAAAAAATATTATGAAAAAATTGAATTCTAAAAAACATGTATGTGTATTTTGTAAACATTTATACTCAAAATTTTATTTTGAATTTCATTACATAAAGAAGACTACTTCTTCAACTTTTATAAATAATAATAATGATATTATATGACTATAAATTTTATAATAAAATAATAATTGAGTATTATATGGTGAACAAGAATAAATAAAATTTTTGTTTTTCTTATATCAATGATTAAATATGTATTCTAAAATCAAACAAATATTAGTATGACGTGTTAGCGTCATTATATATTAATTAACATGTTATTTTTTTGGCTTAAATAAACGCCACTTATTAAAAGATGTAAAATATGGATGATCCAAGCCTATTGGTTTTTTTGTCTAAACGTACATGTCCTATAGAAATAATTGATTTATTATATGTATCACGTGCATCGCACGAGGTTTGCACTAGTTTCAATAATTAGCGTTTGATAAGTAATTAATATTAGATTTATAGTATATATGAAAATAAAAACAATTAAACAATATTTATATTAGGTTAAGTTATATACTGTATGATCTTTTATAATGAATTTGTTGTAAACAGTTAAATATTATTAATTGAACAAGACTTAAAATTACTAGATGTACAGTTTTTTAAGTTTTTTTTTTTTTTTTCTTTTTATCTCTAAATATATTGAATTAATATGTAATAAAACAATATTACTAATAGTTAATTAATATATTTTTATAAATTAAAATTATATATAATTAATAGTATATATATACAAACTCAACAATTATAAATATTTTTCAATTCTATTTTAACAAAAAGTATTTTTTACTTAAAAGACAAATCATACGCACCAAATCAGAAATAGGAATATATGTTTCTAATTATTTCCTTAGCTTACCATATTTGTTTTTTGGGGATTAATAGTAATGGACAAACAACAATTATGATCCTAAATTGCCAAATCTATTGTTTCCTTTATCACCAAAAACTACGACAAAAACAAACCGAGTGGCTCGTGAGCCGTTCGTGAGCACTCGAGTTGGACCAAACTCAAGCCGAACTTGTGCAGCTCGAGCATAGGTTTTGGAAGGTCTATCCGCTCGCGATATGTAGTGAATTACTAAAATACCCTATCCGCTCGCGATATGTAGTGAATTACTAATACCCTTTATATATAAATATTACAATATTTTATGTACATGTTTACACGATAAGGTCAATGCTAGACACGGTTTGTTTCGTCTGCAACCTAGCTGATGCAGCCTAGCTGAAACTCATCTGTCATCTGTCACCACCCACTATTGGTTACCTCAATTTCATGCTAGAAAATCACTGCAAAATCATAAACAAAGGCGTTTGCATTGGATATTCAAACATCAACCACCAACAAGCACACTTACTATTCTCAGTCATCAACAGACAACAGTGCAAACTTTCTCCTTCTATACAAGAAAATAGCACATAAGAAAATGACAATCCAACTTAGCTCATACTAAAATCCTTTCTAAAATATAAATCACAATCCATTATTTTTCACAGAAGGCGGCCAAGATAATCTTCTGTGGGCAGTCGCATCAACTGAACTTGAATCAACAACTTCACTGTTTGTATCTTCACCTCCGTGCCATTCACTGCCTTGGCTTCTGAGGCCATCAATGGCTAAATCATCGAAACTCGACTCGGTCCTCCAAGCTGGAGGAGTCATGCATTCGGAATCTCTCGTTGCCCTTTGAGATGAATGGCCGACTCTCAGTGTTTGTAGTTTGGAAAATGATTCTCTCATTGCAGTCATAGCCTCGAAAAAACGAGTGCAAGATGCTAAAGCCACGGGAATTGGTCGGAGCATTTCCTGAAATGTGGAATAACAGCAATACAATAATAAAATGTCAAAGGTTTATTATTACTATTAAGATTTTCATCACTTGTTAGAAATTATTCTATATCTAGTTGAAGCTAGCTACTGAAAAACATGGCAGCGAGAAATAAATTGGTACAGTTTGAGAAATTTCCTAATCAAAACTTTCGCTACCAGCTACCTTAGACTAAGGCTATGTTTGGTAACCAAACAAGCTAGTTTATAGCATATTTGGTTAGCTTATAAGGTTCTTGTATTTAAATAAGCTTCGTTTGGTAGGAAAACTTATCTCACAAACTTCTGTGGTAACTTTTCAAATAAACTCGTTGAAATTTCTATCCCAGCTACTAATTTTATCAAACACTTTTATCATATAAGCTAGATTTTCAGCTATAAGTCAGTCATAAGGTATAAGTTATAAGCTCGAAAATCACTTATAAGCTATAAGCTAGTTATGAGCTGATAGCTTTACCGATTATAGCCTAAGTAATTACTTTGAAAGAAATACTTGAGTGTAAGGTGTTGTGGTGAAATATCACTATAACCAACCCCTGTAACTTAGTTTTTAGCAGATCTCAATGGAAATTCATTGGTAATACCATTGCTACTAATATACGATCATCAAGATATTATTTGGCGGCAGTGTAAAACATTTTAGAACGAAGGGAGAATAGATTTATCTTATCTCACTTTCTTCATCAATTCTGTAAGGAGTATGGCTCTTTTTTGGTTCACACATATTTAATCATCGAGACACAACAACTATAATTTCCACTAGACTCATAAGAAGATAACTGGAGATGAAACACATAAATTGTTTGCTGGATATTCAACTTACGCCCCATATCGTAGGTGGTTCTTTAAAGTTCTGACTCCACTGAAAATCAGCAACAGAGGCTGTTAAGGCTCCATAATCACTTGCCGCTTTCATCAGTAGTTCTGAAAATTGTTTCTGTATCAGAACAAGGAAAGAAGAATCAAACCTTGTAATAAGATCTCACGTCACATCAATTTAATAAAGGACATTTCGGGGAAAAAGAAAAATAACACAGGACGAAACTAAATAATCTACCAGCTAGCTTACAATACAATCACAAAAACATCAATATTAATAAGCTTCTGTGTAAGTTCAACATCTCGGAGGCAAAACGAGCATCGGTGCACGTATTTATTAAGATAATGCTTGGACAAGCATTGACCAAATTATGAATATAGTGGAAAGAAATGTATAAGCTCATAGCAGTTTATACCATTAGAAATCACAAGGAGTAATTATAGAAAATGTACCTGGTACTCAGCTTCCACGGGTATGCAATCCAAAGAATATGGTTGCTGAAGGCGAGCAATAATCCGATCCTAGAAAGCGAGAATAACAAGATAAGTTCAAGAATAATAAGACAGAAAACAAAGGAAGAACTTTGTGCATTTGCAACTACACGAAAGAAGGATGGTACTAGCAGAACTGATGCAGCATATTCTTATTAGAGTAAGTAACCCATTGGCATCATTTATATCATCAATTGGGTAATTGAGTTCTATCTCTCACCAACAGCAAGTTTGATTCAGTAAGGCACAAAATGTTAAGTGCCCAAAACTCTTAACCCTAATAAAGACTAATGGCATCATTTATATCATCAGTTTCCAGAAATTACAAAGGACTAGCATAAATGGACTCATAATATTAAAGGCAATCAAAATCTGCATCTTTTGTCACCCCTCGGGTATTACAAGACGCCCTAAAAAGCACCACTAACCAACGAATGAATTCTGATACGAATTTGAACTCCCAGTTTAAGCACATATTCAGCTACAGAGTAAAAGTTGGGCAATGTTTCCATTCACTAATTACCTTATTCTGTATAACATCTTTCAATATTGTCGTGATCCGAGATAAAGTCTCGATCTTCTTCTCCATTTCACTCACGTGTGTCAAATGTGCAACATTCTTGTCCTCCTAAAAAGTTCCACAAAGATTGCGTGAGCTCATTGTTAAGCACACTAAACCAGAGCCACAGTTTTCTGAACTACCACTAAACAGTACATCAATCTGTAACAGTCAATTGAGAGTCCTCAACAAAGAAAATCAAAATTCAAGTGATATTTGCGATGTGAAATTCAAAATTGACCTTTCTGCCTTGAAGTTCCACTTGTAGATCCGCAATCTTTCTTTGCACAGCCGTCAATTCTCTCAAGATCCTTATCAGGTCGTCCCCCTTCTCACGAGAACACGTCGATGAATTCTGGGTATCTTCCTGATACAACCCAAAAAAGAAAAACAAAAAATTAGGGCTCGCTACTAGCAGTGCCGAAGCACGAGATCGAGTAGATTCGCTGACACTTTACAGGGCGAATGAGCAACCGGAGACCTGAGATGGCGGAGGAGGAACGGAAAACCCAAGATCGGCGGCGATGGAGAGAGCATCGGACATCCCTCCGACTCTTCTCAGTGGCTTTTTTCCCACCCACGTGGTGTCGCTGCCCATTGACATTCTAAAATGTGGGGTTTCGTTTGTGCGTGTGAACTAGAATACAGGTGCGCGCGCAAGATCTCCGGCGCCGGAAAATAAATTTGCGCGGAGAAGTACCGGAGCAGGTCGCGGTTAAGAGGTTTTCAAATCTATAATTGAAAATAGGAAATGGCCATATGTAGGTTAGTTGATGTACGTGGGGGCCAAAATCACAAATTTAAAAATATTACTCAAGGATAGATTGATCATTTGGATTGGTAGTTATAATTAAAGTTGCTAAACCAAATAAGTCATTGACTTGGCTCAATTTGAAATCAAGCACGCCAAGCTCGAGCTTGTATGAACTCGTTCAGTCAACGAGTTGAGCTCTGCTCGTTTAAGTCTAAAAAATATGATTTTTTAATGTAATTTTATAAAATTCAGTCGTTAATTATAGTGTGACTTCTTGCTATCTTATTAGAGATTGTCCGATGATACCAACCCCAACTAACTCAATGCGGGACTATAATGTTGTAAGTTTTATCGGACACAACTATGACCTGGTGACTACTATTTGTATGTAAATTTTGGTCATAGTTGGTGATATAATTTCGATTATTCCTTACTTATATTCGATTGTGCAACAACTAGGTTATAATTTTATATCGTTGACTTGAAAAACAAACATATCAATTCAATTTTGGCTTAAAAAACGACAATATCAATGCGATTTCAAATAGGACCTGTGGAAACTTGAGCCTAGTGGCATGAGAAACAAAATTTGTTACATTGTGATACCCACTTAGCGACTAACGTGCTTGATGTCAAGGTTTTAGTTTTTATCTCGCACTATTTTTAACAAGCATTGAAGGCGATGAATCTTGCAATGAGGTCACCGAGACCTAAACGATATGCAAACGACCTTTCAATGGAGGCTTGAGTATGAATGTATACCTAATTTGAAATAAGCAATTAGTCATTTTTGTTATTGATGAGAACTTCATGAATTCAACGGATACTATTTCTCCTCCTATAAAGCTCAGTTAGATGGAACATGAATGCAACAGAACCATACTAGCTACTTCTGTTAGGTGTGAAATAATTTGGGCCTGATTACTGGGCCGAGACATCGAATCAAAACAACAAGGAGCCGAATGAAGCCCAATTCGCAAACCCAAAAACCCTACCCCTAAAACCTCCTGAAACACCGCTCGAACTCTTCCCCTCCGCTCCGTCCGACACTTCTTTCGACTCGCACAGTTCAGACCTCACCGCTCCAAGAATCTCTGCTTCAACTGGAGCTCAATCACTTTCTCGATCATGAAAGGAAGAACATTGAAGAAGAAAAGACCATCCTCGCAGCCGGCGAAAGGTATGGGTAGCAATAAGAAGCGCGGTTCCTCCATCAACGACGACTCGTTCTTCGAGGCCGCCGAGCAGAAACGGCGCCGCAGGTTTGGCGCCGGCGGCGATGAAGATATCGCGAGCAGTGACGATGAAGGTTCGGAAGGAGAGGGGGAGGAGGAGGAGGAGAAGGAGAAGGAGGAGGAGATAGAGGAGACGCCGGCGGAGAAGAAGAAGCGGCTGGCGGATGCGTATTTGAAGTCGCTCAGGGCAAAAGAGAGGAGGAAAGAAGAAGAAGAAGATGGGTCCGATGAAGACGATGAAGGGCGGAGAGAGAGAGAAGGGGAAATGGATTCGCTCATTGCAAAGAGTTTGCAGCAGCAGCAGCTTGAGGATAGCGGCCGTGTCCGTCGAGCCATTGCCTCTAGGTTTGTTTTTGCATATGGGTTTCTGATAAACGCAATGTGGTTTCGTTTTTTTTTTTATGTATGGATTTCTGATAATTGAAATGTGGTTTTCATTTTTTTAGGGTTCGTTTATGTGCCATTCTTGTTTGGTTCGATTTTAGTGTTTCATTTGATGGGAGATTCCGTTGCAAGTTTTGATTTTTTGTCGATTTGTGTTGTATTTTAGGGTTCAAAAACCAGAAACGGGTAAAGGGTTTCAATTTCTAGTGAAACACAGGCAACCGGTCACAAGTGTAGCTCTTTCTGAGGATGATTCCAGAGGATTTTCAGCGTCCAAGGATGGTGCCATTGTTCATTGGGATGTTGGTAGTGGAAAAACCGAGAAGTATGTTTGGCCTTCTGATGAAGTTTTGAAATCTAGGGGTGTAAGGGACCCACAAGGTCGAGCAACAAAGCATAGTAAACATATTTTAGCATTGGCTGTTAGTTCGGACTGTCGATATTTGGCGACTGGAGGTTTAGATCGTCATGTTCATTTGTGGGATATCCGCACACGCAATTATATTCAGGTGCGTTTCATCTTTACAATACTGAGCACTTGTTAGTTGCTACTAATTAGGGCGTGCTTGTGTACAAATATATCTGCTCAAAACAAATTTTTTTTTGTTAACCATGATTAATTTTGAAAAAGCTGGTATGGTTAGTTATTTTTTAGTTTGTATCAAAATAAAATTTAAAATAAAATATTTAAAGCTAATTTAATGTAAAAGTATGAGAGAGATGGTGTGCAGTGATGGTTAGTTGAAATTATGCGAGTTGATGAATAGAGAATTAATATTGATGTGATATGTTAGAATGATTGGTTGGTATTATTTAGTTATATTGTTAATATTGAGAATAGTGGGATTGGGTTAATGCTGTATTAGAATTTGAATATAAATTGAATATGAGTTGAAAGAATTTATAAACAAATACGCCCTAAGGAATGCACTGTAATGAAGATCTTTCCAGGTTTCATTTGAAGGAATAGTGGGTATAATATTAAAGACCACATCTTTTTTCAAGGATATTCGAGTTTTATTTTATCTCTTTGGAACTAACCATGAAATCTTGCATTTTTTATCACTAGCTTGATTTTGAAATCTGAAGTATGCCGCCTATTTTGCTTCCTGCAGGCTTTTCCTGGACATAAAGGACCTGTATCCTGCTTAACATTTAGGCAAGGGACTTCAGAACTCTTCTCAGGTTCATTCGATCGTTCTATCAAGATTTGGAATGCAGAGGATAGAACTTACATAAACACTTTATTCGGTCATCAGAGTGAGGTGCTGACTATTGACAGCTTGAGAAAAGAACGTGTATTGACTGTTGGACGTGACCGTACTATGCACTTATGGAAGGTAATTCAAGCCTTTTCAGAAACAATTGGGACTTTATATGCCTCAAGTAGACTGAAAACGTACAAAACTAGCATGTGGAGTGAAGTTTGGTTTAAAAACTTTTAATGTGGTTGTATGTATGGGGAATTCTTTTTTTTTTTTCAAAAAAAAAAATGCTATCAACTAATAACTTTCTTGTTGCACATATGCCGAAATAGGTTCCAGAGGAATCGCAATTAATCTTTCGAGCTCCAGCGGCTTCACTTGAATGCTGTTGCTTTATAAGTAATGACGAATTCTTGTCGGGTTCGGATGATGGAAGCATTGAGCATTGGAATGTTCTACGCAAGAAGCCTGTCCAGATTGTGAAAAATGCACACGCGTCATTTAGCGAAAACATTCTCGAACCGAGTAATTATGAAGGACTAGCAAATGGGCACAAAGGTAGCTTAATTTACAAGTACCTTTCTATCACAAGCCATATGTTTTTCCAGTCAACATCTTACATCTTTCAAATCATTTTATTAATGTTCTGCAGATAACGAAGTCCAAGAGTCTCCAAAACTTGGTTCGACTGCTTTGTCATGGGTCAACTCGGTTGCTGTGTGTAGAAGCAGCGATCTTGCTGCATCTGGAGCTGGAAATGGTTCGGTACGTCTATGGGCAATTGAGAATGAATCCAAAGGAATTCGTCCCTTATTCGAGCTCTCCCTGGTAAGCTTTTTGCTTGTCCTATTTCATTAGATGTAGAGCAGTCCTTTTTTTAACTTCTTCTCTCATCTTAGAAGTTGCGATTTGTTTTTACTTTTTAACAACCGATTTGAAAATTAAATATCACTTTTTAGCATGTTTTCGCTTTTGTGCCTCTGTCTATTAATGTGTGTATTTATTAATTCCAAACCCGTACCTATTATTTGAGTCTGACACCATTGTGTTTTATCTACTATATAGAAATTTTTGCTCCATTCAAGTAACTGCTCTATATCTTGATTTAGATTTAGGGGATGTTTGTTTATAAATTTTTTCAATTCATACACTACCATACTCAAAATCAAATTTTAATTCAATCACATTGTCCTCAACTTTAATCCAACCCCATTATCCTCAATATTATCAATATAATTAAATAATATCAAACAATCAACTTTAATTATTTTATTTTAATATAAACTCAAAATTCCACTAATAACTAATCATACCAACATTTTCAAAACTAACCCTGGTTAGCCAAATAAACTCATTTTAAGTGGATGTATACTTTTTCATGTTACATTTATTACAATTTTTTTCTGCTTGGTATATGATGTTGTAAATGAAATTTCATGCAGGATGGATTCGTAAATTCGTTGGCATTTGCTAAATCTGGGAGATTCCTGATTGCTGGAGTCGGGCAGGTGATTTTCTCTTTTGTCCTTCAATAAATTTACACTGATCTATCAAAATATTACGACTGGCTTGTTTCATAACGAACTTATACACATGCTGCATTTGGCTAAACTTCATCTCTTTGTGCAGGAACCACGGTTAGGGAGATGGGGACGTGTTGCTACAGCCAAAAATGGAGTTGCATTGCAGTCACTGGAACTATCATAAACACTAACAATTCCAATTCTTGATCCCGATATAGAAAAAAAATATCGAGAATGTAGAAGAAATGAGTTTTACTGTTTACAATTGCGAAACAAGTGCTTGTAAGACAGTTCTTTGCAGTTGTGTCGATGGACTTGCAGATGCTTGATTTTTGGAGAGATAAGGAAACGCTCCCAAGCGTGTGCCTATGGTTCTGAACTCATTCTCGTTTGTGGCAGGTATTGTTTGTGGGTAGTGTTTTTCTTCAAATGTGAAGTAAAAGATCACGAATTTAGAGTTCGATTTGCTTACAGTTTCAGTATTTCTCCTGTGAACACTAGGTTACGGTCCACATGTTCTGCTGCGCTAAGTTTTGTTTTTCCGACGTTTGGTTTCTCTATTTGTTCTTGGGTTATTTTTGTTTTGAATTTTGTAAGTCCAAGTTTTTTGTATTATTACATATTCTTATTGAGAATTATATCGAATGTTTAATTTTTTCCTGAGCTTATTTCCGACAAAACGAACTCAACAAAGGTTGCAAAGCAAACTGGCAAGAAACTCGACAACACAATCACGGTAGCTTTGAGTGAAATGAAAGTATAGAAACCATAAATTCAAGCAAAGAACCATAGAAAACTAGCACAAGAGAAGTAACCATCAAAGTGCAGTGTAATTGGAGTTTGAGACTAACAATTCTGGAGTCAACTACTTGCCAAAATGTCCATAAAAGAACCCATCATAAATAAATAATAAACTCAATGCCATATAAAATAGCCAACATATATATATAAAACTAGTTCATCACCAAAAAGTGGCAAAGGGCTCTCTAAGGTACAGTATATATATATATATATATGAACAGTAACTATAAGGAAAAACAGAGAATTAGAGAG